ATTTCTCTTGTTTCACTGTTATGTTCTGGAGCCAGACTGCTGTCTAGCTGATGATAAAGTCTGCATGATAATGCTGCAAATTGAGGACATGGAAACTTCCAGATGTGATTGGGAATTGTAATTTACATAAAGCCTGTCTTGACTTTCGACCCACCCACAGAGAAGTATTTTTAAAAATGGTTAATATTTCTAGAATAAAATGGAGTAATTCACAGGATACACATCATTTTGGGAAGCGTATTCATTTTGCTAAAATATAAATTTTGGCCCAAAGGCTTAGAGTAATTATTTTCCATCTGCCCATATATCTCAAACCGAAATGGCCTCCAGATTTTGAACAGATCCTCTATCTCACTGGGAATGATAATTCCTAAATATTTCATATATTTGAGTTGCCACCTAAAATTTAGATTCCCCTATGAGCAAGTTTGCTTATGCCCAAAATTTGACTTTTCCCAGTTGATTTTATATTCCAAGAGGAGTCCAAATGCATTATTTAAATAGGTTAGGAACAGTGATTTCAAGTTTAGATACAAGAATGTCACCAGGAAAAACAATGATCTCCTGCTGTTTTTATTGGCACTCTTCTCCACAGATTACAATGCATGGACCTTGCCAAAACAGACTGCTGCTGGTTGTGGGGGGAGGAAGGTGGGAGAAACTCTCCCACAGCCACACTGGCTCTCAAATTTTCGGACTATCCCACACAATAATCCTTTTGGCTAGAAGTAGGTAGGAAAATTAATATTTCAGATTCTTCCCATCATCTTAAATTCTCCAACTCATAGAAAGCCTGGTTCTGTAAAGCAGTGCTTGTAGCCAAATTATATTGCTTAGATGGAAGGACAGACTGTCTGTAGGGCCAGAAGCTTGGCATAGCAAGTTGGCTGACCTGACAGCTCAAGAGCAAGTAACAATTTGAAGAGGGACCCCTGATAAAACTTAAAAAGATTGAGTTTAACTTTTTAGAAATGCTTGAGTTTCCCTAGCAGATGGAAATCAAAATGTCATTCTCCTTTCCTCTCCCTTTCTTTTGCATTCCTTCTGTTTTTTTGTCCTTTTTTCTCTTTATTTTTTTGGGGAAAAAACTAAACACCAAAAAGGTATCCCTTTCAGAAGTAATAAAGTTTACTGAATGGGTATATCAGATAGTAATTTCTCCTTAGACAAGTCATTACTGTTATTAAAAACCTGAATTTGTAATGATGATAAATTATACAAAAGTAACAAAACCAAGGGGATAATGGACGCATGCGGTTCAAAGAGTCAGTATGATTTGAAAGAAGGTATTTGCCTAAACTGGTCATAAGCATTTGGGGCTTGATTTACTGAGTTTGCTTTCAATGTTGTTCTTCAGTTTCCTGCTATTGTATAATACAAAAAGGCTGGCGTCTTTAACACAGCACTCAATATGAGCATTGCCAGAATATTCCACTGATGAAGGAATCAAACACATTAGGGCTTGCTGAAGATCAATAAAGTTTTATCTCAAGAGGGGAGAAAATGCTGTTCGCTGTTAAAGGATATAAAATGCTTACTTGTTTTCTTTAATGTCTTCTTTTGTCTATTGCAACTTGTTACTATGTTCAAACTACATACCATTTCCCTCGTCTCAACCTCACAAATTAGAACGTTCAGACTTACTGCATACCTGAAAGCATTTATAGGTGGTTTGACTGGGAGAAAAAGTGAATGCCAAGGTTTGGTGTACATGGCAACTGACTGCTTGCCAAGCCAGAAAGTGAATATACAACACCCCAGCTTGCCATGCAATAAGGTCACAGGTAATACTGTTCCAGTACAGCAAAAGTCACAGAGTGGCTTGCTCCATATTATCATACATGTTACTATGCACTTAGTTCACAACCTGAAAATCAGTGACCAGAAACAATATGAGCACTAAGTGCTCTTTCATCCTCAAAGTGCTTTGCAAACATCACTTAAGTTCTGATCATGCTTTAGAGGGAAGTATTATGCTCATTCTCCAGTTGGGGAACATGAAGCAGACAGATTGTATCCAGTGTTCCCACTAATTTTTTTTTCCCTCCATGAGCAGATTTGGTTATGTGTACCAAAGTATGTGCAGTTGTGCACCACACATGCTGCTGGCTGTGGGTGTTTTGCTAATCCGCTGGTTTGCATTTGAATCTCTTCTGGGTGGCTGCTCAAGTACTTAGCTTACAGGGAACACTGGCTATAACTTGCCAAAGTCACAGAGCAAGTGTCAGGATTATAACTCACAATTTCTAGCTCCCGATTAATTGCTGACTATACTTTCCCTCTCCTTAGCTTTGGGTACAGCAACCTTCTTTCTCATTCCATTTCTGATCTTCTATACCAGTGGGTTTGCTCAATGACTTGCAACTAATCCTCTTCAGGTGTGAGCTCACCATAAATCAGCATGCCTCTACCCATAGCCCTTTAGGACCTGGCACAGATGACACACACACACTTGTGAAGAGAAGCACCTGCAAATGGAATCATCATATGGAAGGCTTAGAACAAGTACCACTATACCAGAGTATGGAATGCAGATAATCATTTTAATGTAGATATTCACAAATTTCTCCTTCAAACTGCAATGTGGTTTGGGAGCCATCTTCTTTACTAATAAATTAGCCTCCGTTATTTAACGTTCTCTTCATTTATTTTGTAACGGTAGCCTTTTTACCCCATCTAGAATGTTGGAGAATATATACACAAGTTCTAGGACTGCCCGTATTGCAAACAGGTTCTGACCAAACCAAAGCTATGGTTCAGGAATCAAGATTATTCTGAACCAGTTTCTTAAAAGGATTATGATTTTAAGGCCTAAAGAAAACAAAACCTCAGAAAATCTATATTGAGGGGCTTTTGTGGAATAAGTTGGCATTGCTGGTGGATTCAAACTTACAAAACGTATCTAATCAACTCCTCTGTCAACAAGGATTCTAAAACCGTATCTGTAATTTGTGTCTGCATTTTCCCCATGTGTCATTTTCAAGGATGCAATGACTCAGATTTGTGAATGCAAACATAAATATGGCTGGAAAATATGCATGTGCAAACTGGCCAATTTCAAATATGGCCTTATTTATGTATCCTATCTAAACATGTTTTCAAAAGCATGGAGAAATATTTTCTGTCTCTCTTTCTTTCTAAAAAGGTACATATTATATACCTTACAAAACTGTTAATTGGATCCACACTGATTTTTTTATGGCTGAAGCCAAATACTGATAGGTACATATTTATTCTCTAAAAATACATATTAATTGCATGATAAGTGCACAAATAACCACAAGCTCTATCTTGTTCTGTACTAATATTAATGTAGCTATATTTTTTAATTAGCTAGCTTTTTGAACCCCAAAATGGAATCCATAATTAGATTTTGTATTGCAACTAGTCGAGTATATTTTCTTTTCCGTCTCTTTAAACTGTATTATTTATAAAGAACAGAGATGGAAATGCAAAATACATTTTTTTCTATCACACAACTAAAAGCAAATGATAATGCAGTACCAAAACAAATGACATAAAATTGCAACACTATATTTGGAAAAATATATTGTATTTTTTAAAAAAGGACCTTTGTGATACAGATCAGAGCTGTATACATGATTTGCATAAAAGGTCTGTTATGACACAAAGTATAACCAACACACAGACAGCATTCTATAATTCTAAGGGAATACTCTGGAGCCTGATTCTGCATAAGCGTCTCTCGCAAAGTATTAAGGGCCCCCACCGCCCCCCCAACTCCTATTGACTTCAACAGACGTTTCCTGTAATTAGCAATTACCACAATTCTCCAGACAGAATCCCAAAATCAATGTTGAGGAACAGGGCATTTCCTGGGGACTAACAGTCAGCCAGGACCAGGTGATGGGTCCATGCCAAATTAACACAATTATCTGGAACACAATTTTTAGAATACCTTAAAAAGGTTTACGATTCACCTGTCACTTCTGAATGGATATGTTGTGATGCCATGATGATGTGCACAGTTCTGGGAATCCAGAAAGCATGATAAAGTCTATTAGCTAAAACAGCCTGCCTAGGGTCTGATCCAATTCCTACTGAAGTCAATGGAGCTCCTTAGATCAACTTCAATGGATGACCGACCAGACCTCACCTCAGGTTCTAGACCTCAATGCACCATTTAGCTTAAAGAGATCAGACATTGAAAAGATCTCCGCTCCCATTTATGCCGTGAATTTGGTGCCCAGATTTTTTTTTTAAAACTCAGCCAGAAGGGCTCCGAGTTCTTTAGAAAAGTGTGGTGGTAACTGTCATGTTAGGAGCTGTCATGTGATGACCATTTTGGAAAATCTGACTCCAATTCATTCTGATTAGTTTGGTTCTGATTCTAAATGATATTAGATAGATCAACATTTACAAATTTAGACCCCAATCCTGCAAACCACTTCAGTGGGGCTATTCAAGTGAAGTTAAGCAAATGCATAAGAGTTTAAAGGACTTGAAGCCGAATTCTTCATGTTGGTTAACATACCGTTGTTTTATCATCTAAATAGTAGCATCAGATCATATGAAATTCTATTAGAATTATATCTGAATCATCTGAAAAAATAATAAAAAATGAACAGATGTTTATTTTGGGGCAATTACTGATACTATGTGCAAAGTCAAAAAAGTAGAACCACTGTTAGCAACCAACAGATTCACCAGAAGATGCTTCTATTACAGCCCCAATCCAGCAAAGCACAGAAGCATGTGTTCAATTTTACGCATGTGAGTAGTTCCACTTAAAACAATGAAGCTAATTCACGTCTAAATGCTTTGCCTGATTACCACTTATATGCACAGCATAGCAATGGGGTAGGCCCCATTGTAACCTGCAGGATGAAATTTGGGACATGCTGCCCAGGTGCTAATGGGTCTCCACTTGCACAAAACCATCTTACTCAAACTTTTCACATGGGATGAGAATGGCATTATAGTAGCTTAAGGCGAGATGTTCTTTGCATTTGATTAACTAGTTTAAGACATTTGCTGCGCCAAAAATACCCTGCTCTTGGAAGCTTTTATGAAATGTGAATTTTTAAATAGTTGCTTTGATATTCACAATCACATTTTTCAATGACTGCTGCTTTTAGTTTCCAATACATGTAACTGTGCACAGCCTCATTGCATGTGCAAGTAACTGCATGTTTGTGTGTGAATGCCACATATGAGTACATGTGCAAAGTGATGCAAATGGAATACTAGAGACCAATCTCTGGACTCCTGAAAGTGTGGCCCTCCCTTAAATGCCATGGAACCCCACTGACTTCAAGGCTTCACAACAACGCATGATCCAGGATGAAACTGGACTGCAATAGTAATAGTTTAACTAATCTAGTATGGCGTCTGCAGGACACAGCGAAGCTGTGTGGGCTCCACTTTGAATGATGGAGTAGGTCTGCTTAGGTGCCTGGGTGTGAGAGGATGAGGAAAAGATGGGAGGAGGGGGAACTGAAGTAGACACAGAGATACTTTGACCCCCATCACTAACCACAGCCTCATCTGTTGCCCCTTCTTGAATCAAAGCATTGAGACCTTCCAAGTCAGAGCAGCTGATTCCAGAATCATTGATGAAAATCTGGCCTGATGAATCCCTGTGACCATGGTCTGGAGCAGCAGAAATCAAAGTCTGGTGGAGAGTACCATTGTCAGTTTGGTCATGGGCTGTAAGCAGAACTGCTGGCTGCCCGACTGACCCAGCTTCGCTTTGAGAAACAGGGGGATGAGGCGGTGCCAGCAGACTGACCTGGCGTACTATTTGCAACTGGCTAGTGGCAGACAGGTCTTCTTGATTCTGGCCAACTAATGAGGGAGGCATAACATTCACTGAAGCAGCCTGAACTATTTTATTATCTTGAGGCACTTGATGGCCAACAATGATCTTGACTCTTCCTTCATTATACGGAGAAACCTGAGTGGCTTGAATTGGGACTTGAAGGTGACGTACAGTAACTGGGGCATTGGTTGGCCTACTATCCACGTGGAGCTGCAAAACAGCCATTTCTGTATTTTTGGTCCCATTATATTCACTGTGCTGCTTCTTATGGCTCCTCAGAGAATCTTCTCGGACAAAGGAAGCTTCACACAGGCCACATTTAAATGCTTTCTTAGCATCCAATTTGGCTACTTGCCTGGAGCTACCTTGCTTTGGCTTATCTCCATCTTTCTTTTCAGTAGTTTCCTTTTTGGTTTTGACTTTGTCACCATGGGCTTTCTTCATGTGCGTGGTCAGATTGCTCCGCTGTTTGGTATCAAAGCTACAGAAGTCACATTTGAAAGGGCGATCATCGCAGTGAATTCTCTCATGCACCTTGAGAGCTGCCTTGTTAGAGCAAGAGTAATTGCACTGTAAGCATTTCACCGGCTGCTCAGGCTGATGGGTTCTTAAGTGATGCCGAAGGCTTGTTTTGTTTCCACATTGGAACTCACACTCTGGACACTTGAGTGTGTTCTCCATGCTGTGCTTGATACGTATGTGCGATTTCAGGTTCCCTTTCATGGCGCAGCGGACGTCACAGAACTCACACTTGTAAGGCTTCTCTCCAGAGTGCACACGCATGTGCCTCTTCAAGTCAGAGTTGATTTTAAATTTAGCACTACACATCCGACACTGAAATGGAGCATCTCCTGTCAAGAGCAACATACATTTAAATTAGAAGTCAATCCACAAATCTATGGTACTTCCTGGATAGACTGAAAGCTGCATAAACTTCAAATGGTACATGAACCCCATTTGTTTACATTAAAATTTCCAAACATATTTCCACAATGCACTAAATTCTTTAGTAGGGTGAAATTCAAATGTTGCATTCTCTTGTTCCACCTGAAGTTGATCAGAAACACCTGTGTGAGAGAAACCCAGTAGCCACTCCTGGCATAGAGGGCTCGTGGGTAGAGAGAAAATGTGGGCAGGATGACAGGTCCCTCCAGTTCCTTGATATTTGTTTTCCAGATGTTCTCCACTAGTGATGGAAAATCCTGCTCAATCTGTTAACCAATTAAACATAACCGGTTAACTGGTTAAATGTAAAGCAGGATTCTGCGGGTGGGAGACCTAGCCTAGCTCTATGTCAAAGGTTTCAAATAATAGCTCTTGCTAACTTCTTTTGTATTTGCTCAACTCTGACCTATGCATAATCCGTTTACTTCAAGTTAGTTACGTGCATAAGTATTTGCATCTTCAGGGCCTAAACCTCTACAATTTCCTTGAATTTGTAGGTTGTCACTATATAGGCAGCCAAAATAATCAGATATATTTAATACACTCTCTCAAATCCAGGGCATGAATTTACAAAACATGAGTCCATTTAGGAGACGGTGATTTATTAAAACAAACAAAACAAAAAATCCCGCAAAATGCTGTAACAAACTAGCATTTACAAAACAATACTATTCATTCTTAACAGTTCTTCTCTGATCCACTTGCACAGTAAGACATCATTTTGGTATTACTCTGCCACATCATGGAAGGAGAAAAGTGAAAGAACTATAGGATGTTATGTAAGACAAATGATGGAATGTGCTAAATTCAGTCAATGCTTTATATATTAAAAATCAAACTGCATATGGCTAATTTATTTTACATGTTAATATTTTATAGATCTTTGTGATATTTGTATAATTTTGCATAATTTGTTTATCCAGCAACATAAGCACCTAAATCAATGGCATATTTTTCAAATCAAGTTGTGGCATACTGTGCAAATCTCACATCTATTTTATAATTGAGATATATAGCACATTATGTTTGTGATAAAGATTTTTATTAACGAAGATACACTAGTTGCTAGTCTAGCTTACCTATTTTACTGTCACAACTACATACTCTTCTAGTTGAACGGTAAGACTCAGCTATCGAATGTGTACCTCGTTTACTGAAGGTGGCATATTTGTACCTTATTTACTGAAGAAGTACATATTTCAGAAACTCAGTTTTCACATATTGGACTGACAGGGTTGCAAAATTTGAGTATAAAAGTGAGCAGAGATAGATAGGCGGGATGGATGAAATCTCAGCCCCACTTTAGAATGAGGTTTCTCAGAGATAATCCATACAAGAGTTACTTGTGGAAGTTCTTCCAATTCTATTATGTGGAATCAAATTATTTATTTGGAAGGGGAACATGTGGCCCTGACAGGGCAACTTGACACAAAGGCTATGATTTTAAAGTGGCAAAGCAAGCTTGTGGTCTTATGACCACGTTACCTGTTTACCTGCTAAAAAAGTCACTAAGAGTTTATTCATTCTTTGTTCTTCACTGGTTGAATCCTTCTATATTGTTGCCACGTGGCCTCACAGGGCAATAATATTTTTTGGGAGTGAACTTTTTGCCAATTCATCAGGTGGCAGTGAAATGTAATAATGTAATTTGGCTTCCTGCTTTGTCCACTACCTGCAGGATTTTCTGGAAAAGCAGCCTGTACTTGTGGGACTGCCTGCCCATCCCTCCACTGACTTGTAGCCAGCTCCTTACCCCTCTCACTCATAGCATCTGGGGAGGAAATGAACCTCCCACACATTACCTGTGTATGCGCATCTGTCTCACACACACAGTGTGCCTGTCTCACCCCTTTCTCTCCCACCTGGCACTGTGCAGCTGTGTATGCACTGTCTGGAGGAGAAAGTGGTGCACTCCAGCAGGATAATGTGGAGTGCACCGTCATCATGTTTAGTTTCTGCAAGGAAACTGACCTGTGTCTACTGCGTTTTCTTCCTCCTGCCTCAGTCCAGCCACCTTGTAGAGTGTGTGGCTACATCAACAATAATCTATTTACACTTGAAGGCTCAGTCAAGTGCTACTTCATCATTTAGTAGCAAGACATTCCCTGGGAAATGGCTTCAAAGTCACCACTGCTGTGCATAATATTAAATTATTTGTTTAAAACTTGTACTGTACATGTATATGCTGTCTTTTGTCTGCTGAAAAAAATTTCCCTGGAACTTAACACTCCCTGCCTCTATTTACATTAATTCTTATGGGGAAATTGGATTCACTTCACATCATTTCCACATAACGTAGCCTTTTTGAGGAACATAATTACAACATTAAGCAAAGCACCACTACAGAATATTAAATGAAACTTAGTAAATAGTTTTAAATGTTTTTCAACATTTTCAGATATATCCATTTCAATTACAACACAGAATAAAAAGTGAATCGTGCTCACTTCATGTTTATTACAAATATTTGCCCTGTTTTTTAACTCATCTTATAAAACCACTGTAGTCCAATCTTTTTATTGTGAAAGTGAAACTTATATAGATTTTTTTTTGTTACATAACTGCCCTCAAATACTAAAACATGTAAACACTTTAGAGCCTACAAGTCCATTCAGTCCTACTTCTTGTTCAGGCAATTACTTAGAAAATAAGTTTGTTTAAATTTATGGGAGATAATGCTGTATATCTCTTGCTCTGTTTTACTCACATTGCGTGGCTTCTGCAGCTTTGAATCCAAGCAAAAGAGCAATCTGACAATGCACATAAAGACAGCTATAATATGTACCGGTGTGTAATCAGCACACACTTACATTAGAGGAAGGTATTCTGCATCAGGTGTTCTCTGGTCCATATTTATCATTACTACCTCATTTTCTCATGTACAATTCCTACTGCCCTTCACATCCTGAAAATCCCACTGGGCACCTATCTACATCTTTAGCAGCAAAATACCTCAAGTGTGGCCCAATGCATTTTCAAGCCTTACCAATTGACATTCTTGTCTAGACTTACCAGTATGGGATCTGAGATGTACAGTAAGTTGGCTAGAGTTTCTGCTTGCATAAGGACAGATCTGGCATTTAAAAGGGCGCTCATTTGAGTGGATGCGCTGGTGCTTGTTGAGACTGCTGTTGTCAGCAGCTGCATAGTCACAATGTTTACACTTGTAAGGTTTCACGCCAGTATGGGAACGCATGTGCATCTTCAGCTTATCTTTGCGACTGAAGCACTTGCTACACACCTCACATTTATGAGGCTTATCTCCTGAAAACCAGCAAAACAACATCAAAATAATAACTTTTGTAATGCGTCAGCCTCTGAACTAAACAAAACAAAAAGCAATTATACACAATTTTCAAATACTAATAGCCTGAATTTTCTAAAGGCCATCTTAAATTCACCTGCAATGTTTATGCCTTCCAACACCTCCACATTAAACACCCTTCCTAATGTGGACAGAAAAGGTGAGGTATGTCAATACTACAAGAACAATTCAGAAGACCCTTTGAAAAACTGTGCCCTTACACTGGCTTTTGAAATAAAAAAATTATTGTTTCAACTAGATTTTTATAAATTTCTAATCCTTATCTACCATACAGAGCAGTGATTCACTGAAGAACAGCTTCCCATTCATGCCAAGGAGGTTCCCGTGTGTCAGTGATGAGTGAAGGATACATGATTACTGATATTCTGAAACCTGGAGGCCAAATGACTAAGTTACAAACTGTAACACACTACAGTAGTTTGTACCTTAACATGATATTTGGCATTCCAAAGGGACAGACCTTGCCTTCCAGGAAGCTAGGGTAGGGATTGTGCCTCTTGAACATATAGGCTGGACTACTTAGAACTCAATGCTTTTCTTTGTGGGAAACATCTATTGATAACAAGAAGGAAAAATGAATGGTGATGGCTTTAGATGTTTACCTGTGTGTGTTCTTAAATGACGTTCCACATCTTTCATACCATACGATGTCTTAAATTGGCAACCTGAAAATAAAACAGATACCCCAAAAATCAGATTTTTAAATTTAAGAATAACAAGACAATAGGACATGTACTTTGACAGATTCAGGATGTAGCCTTTCTTGACATGTATCTGTAACATTTCTGTGTCAAATATATGAAATATATCACTCTACGGTGGGGTGGGGTGGGGTGCATGTGTATGTGTACATACATATAAACATAAAGAGAAGAAATTCAACACTACCAAAAAATGAAGTCCACATCTTGTTTGCATATACTTACTTACAATAAGTAAGTAGCTGTACTTACCTATAAACTTTAGTCTTCTAGTGCTTCCCTAGAAGATAATTCTTTCTCTGCATTAACTCATTCTGGAATGTCTCCTGGTAATCTCTAAAACAAATTGTGTGGAATCTCTGCCTGGGTTTTGAGATGCACTCTACGGTACACAGGGGACACAGGGAGACTAATTAATTTCACATATAGTCTCAAATGAGAGATAGTGGGGGCCTACCTGATACATTGGGGCCTTCATTCTAAGGAGTTTTCCCTGACTAAAGAATACTGAGTAGGGCCCTAAAAGTTTGTGTGTGCGCAAACTAAGGCTGTGCATGTGAAATAAGGTTCTCAGATACAGACAAGATTTGGAACAATACTGTGAACGCTATTTTAACAAACAAGACAAAACATTTGAGGAAAGTTTAACTCCCAAGACTTGCAGCATTGAATCCTGTATGAAATAATCAAGAATCTGTTATGCAGGAATTTTGTGTACTATATGGTAACTTTACCAATTAATCTTATTTAAATATTGAAGATACTTAAAATCTGTCCATCCATGTAAACGTTTGGGTCCATCAGAACTGTGGAAATAACTTACAGGATTGGGAACACAGGATATTAATCAGGTCCTACTATTGAACTGATGTTTCAGCACACTTGGAAGCTAGGTACAGCTCCATTGACCCTGGCCAGCACACATCATCAGAGCAAGGTCGGAACCTGAGAGATGGATTCTACACTCAGGCTACGTCTACACTGCAGGCTTCTTGCGCAAAAACTGTTTTGCGCAAGAGTTCTTGAGCAAGAGTGCGTCCACACCGCCATATGCTTTTCTGCAAGAGTGTCCATGGCAGTGCGGACGCTCTTTTGAGCAAGAAAGCACTGATGGCCATTTTAGCCATAGGGATTTCTTGTGCAAGAAACCCTTGTTGCCCGTCCACATTGCCTTCGTGCGCAAGAGGGCTTATTCCTCATGGGGAGAGGAATAACTCTTGTGCAAGAAGCCCTCTGTTCCGATGCTGTACTGTAAATGTACTTGCGCAAGAACGCGTGTGCAGTGTAGACGCTCCGCAAGTTTTTGCACAAGAATGGCTGTTCTTGCGCAAGAAGCCTGCAGTGTATATGTAGCCTCACTGAAGTCAATGGCAAAAATTCCACTGACTTTGCATATCATGTTTTCTTGTAGATTCCGTGTAGATTAATTTCACGAATTTAGGCAAGCCTAGCATATTTATAACTATACAAAACCCACCAATTGTAAAATGAAAGAAAAAGGAAAAGGTAGCCAATACCTAACCTGGATAGCAGCAGTTCAGTTTCTTTTGAGTAACTGCAGTAGTGGATTTTCTGGAACGTGTTTTCGATGATAGGGATACAACAGTCGTAGTCTGAGGTTCACGGCTCTCACTGGGCAGATATGTTTGGTACCCATGCTCAAAAACAAACTCTGGAGCAGAAACTAAAAACAAAAAATGGTCTGCTTTCATAGTATAAATCTGTATTCAATTCCATTAAGCACCACCCATAATTAATTCTATTTTTATAGTCACATTTGCCTATTCTTTTATAAAATGTTTTTCTCTGCCTATTACGAAGTAAAAGCTCCCTGTAAACAAAAAGAAACTGCTGAAGGCTCCTTACCAAGTGAAAGCCCCACGTAAACAGAAACTGACCAAGACTCCTATCCTGCAACTGGATATGCATGGGTAGTCCCTTGTACCCTTACAAACACTGAAGTCTGTGAGATTTGTACAAGCATAAGGGTGTGACACAACTGCAGACCTCAGAGCCTGGTCAGTTTCTTCTGAAGTGTCTGGGAGAGAGGGTTACTTATATGAGCACAATTTAGGGCATGTAAAATCCAGTTTAATTAATTAACCCATTAAACACCATATTTAACCGGTTAACCAATTAAAGGGGGGGCCAGGCTGCCATGTCTGGACGACCAGAACAACCCATGTCTGCAGCAGGACCCCTTGCACGGCTGGAGCAACACCCTGCGGGAGGGGCAGCTGCCCCAAGCCCCACCGGTTAATCTTTCACATCCCTAGTACATGCATGTTGTTAAATGTTAGTAGAATCAGAGCCTTAAGTCAGTATTCGGGGGAAACAGTGAAATCGGCTTTATAATAAATGTTGTCAAAAGTATGAACTATAAAACTGAAAAAAATTTTTTTTTTAATATTTAAATTTTCAGTTAGTCATTTTAGGTATCAACCATAGACACAGTAGGTAAAACCATTTTTATGCAGACTAATTAATGGCTTTTATATTTACTTTTACCACTTTCCTAATATCAAACAGGTTGATATTATTGTCCTCATTTTACAGGTGAGTAAATCAACAGGTAGATAATTTCACCAATTCCTGAAAAATCCAGTGACTCGTGGGCAGGAATTACAACTCAAAAATTCCTGGCAACCTGACCTGAATTCAGTCCATTTGACTACTCTTTCAAAAGTTTTAAGACTTTTGTCTATCAGATTCCCCTGCTCCTTCCAAAAAACCTTTCTGCAAATCTCTCTGAAAATTAATGTCTCTTCAAGTTAGTTCAATGAGGTCCTAAACCTGAAAATATGCACGTATGCAGCTTTATTCAAGTAAACTTCTGCAAATACTGTGCCTTTTGCAGAGGCAGGAATGATGAGTATAATGGTATTTCTAGTTAATTACAGGGAGCACTTTTTCCAGATGCAGTGGTCTCTTAAAAGGAGGGCCTGTATTGAGGATCAACAAAAAATCTAAACCTGGGTTTGTTACCAAGGGCACCACTAAAAATACAGTGTAATTTCACTATTTTTCATACTGACGCTAATTACAGTTTCCTTTCATTAAGTGCTGGCTGCATGCCACATAAAATTTAAGGTATTATAAATTAATCCATATTTTTGATTGTCAAATTAAGCGAATAGTGTTATTTCAAAGCCAATGAAGTAGTCAGATTGCTTCTCCTTCCTTCACCTATAATATATCTGAATGCTTGTGTGCAAACTAGTGTTTTAGCTTAATGATGGGTCACAGATTTACATTTCTATAAGTTATGGGCTTTCAAATTCCTAAGCAATACCTGTGATGGTCTGAGTCTCTGAAGTAATTGTTCTGGTTGTGGTTTGAGTCTGTGTTGATGGCACAGTTTCTTCTGAGACAAACTGGACAGTACTAGTGGTCCCAGTTGCACTGGTCAGCTGGCAGCCGCTTTGCTTATGAGCAACAAAGGCATCTAGGTTAGTGAACTGCTGCTTGCAAATGCCACAAATGTGAATATCTGGGGTGAGCTCCACTAGGACAGTGGTGCCTCCTGGAACTACAAAAATGGAAGATCAAAGAATTTACATTGATGAAATCAAAACATGAAAAAATTTCTACAAAAAAGTGAAAAGAAATTTAAAAAAGATTATCAAGTATCATATGAACCAGGACCTCTAATGAAATATCTGCAAATATCCCTTTCATCTACCATTGGCAGAACAATAACAGGAACCATGAAACCAAGAGTCATTACATTCAGCAGATGAGTATTACAAATGTTGAAGAACTAAGCATATTTAGTGGTATATGAAGTTTCAAGGCACTGATGTCAGTAGGAGCTGAGCAGCTTGAAGTACAAAGCTGTTATTTTATCCTTTTTCAAAAAAAAAAAAAAAAAAGGTACACTAGGGTACCTAGGAAACTTTATTTGTGAAACTTGCATACCTGCAATGCTGAACTTTAGGTTGCCAATAAGGATATACTCTGGTTCCTTGTAACACACTTGGCAACAGGCGCTTGCACAAGAGTTGCACTCTAGGAACTTGCACCTTTGCATGCTGCACAATCACCCTCAAAACCATGAGGTTTGCACTGTTACACAATGCTTATGTGCATTGGGCCCAAAGGGCCTACACTGATTCTCCCAGCACACTAGGCTCAGGGAGCTTGCCCTAAGTGTTCAGGTAGCTTTCCCCAAAAATGTAGCCCTTTGCCCAGTGCTCCAATTATGGGGGACAGGAGTGAGACCTTAATGAACATGGATGGCCCTGGAGTGAGGTGCCAGGATGTTTTTTGCCTGGCTGAGACCAAGCAACAAGACTGCCTTTTAGAGATGTAAAAAGTTGGTTAAAATGGTAACCCGGTAACGCTGAAAATCTTAGCGTTACAGGGCATCCCAGCTGTGCATCCAAGATATGTTCCAAAAAACATGGCAGTACAGTGAAACAACGTAAAGTGAGGGGATTTTTTCCCACGATGTAAGAGGGGAATGAGAGGCCTTAAAACAAAGTCACAGTTCCTACAAGTGTCAACAACATTAGTGTGGAACTGATGTACACAGGGACACCCTGTACACGGATACACAAGCTCTGGGCTCTCCTCATAAAGCATATTTATATGGCAAAAGCCTCCCTGAGAGCCAGGCCAGTAGGAGCCAGTCCTGGGAAGATGGCTTCAGAGTTTAAATGGATAATTATCAACTTGTCGGATAACTGGTTATTTGGTTAAACTCTAACATCCCTGCTGCCCTTACCACCTACCCTCCACTTTCTCCCCGTGCCTCCCCTATCCCCAACTGTCCCATGTGTCCCAGCCCTAACTCCCGACCTGTTACCGCCGCCTGGCTCCTCCATCCAGTACCATCTCCTCCCACCTCTACTCTGCCTCTCTGGCCTCTTCTGCCGCCCCCCGCGGTCTGATGCGCGCCCCAGTGGGGAGCTAGAAGCGCCCCCGCTACTCAGCCCCCAGCCTCCCCCGTGCCTCCCCTATCCCCAACTGTCCCATGTGTCCCAGCCCTAACTCCCGACCTGTTACCGCCGCCTGGCTCCTCCATCCAGTACCATCTCCTCCCACCTCTACTCTGCCTCTCTGGCCTCTTCTGCCGCCCCCCGCGGTCTGATGCGCGCCCCAGTGGGGAGCTAGAAGCGCCCCCGCTACTCAGCCCCCAGCCTCCC